GATTGTGGCCTGAGGCAATCAACACTGCATGTCACATTGCAAACATAGTTTTTCTAAGGAAATGTACCTCTCAAACTCCATATGAGTTATGGAAAGATAAGAAGCTTGATCTGTTATAATTTTATATTTTTGGGTGCAAGTGCTATGTGTTGAATTATAGAGATCCCCTAGGAAAATTTGATTTCAAAAGTGATGAAGGTGTTTTTCTCGAATACTCTTCAAATAGTAGGGCATATAATATTTTCAATATGAGAACTCAACGCATAATTAAATTATTTAGTGTTGTTTTCTCTGATTCAGAAGATTTCTCACAATTTTCTATGAAGATGATATTGATGGCTTAACATCACCTCCTAATGTGATCATTGACCGTGACAATGTGCCCATTCTAAGTCCTCTAAAAGATGTGACCACATCAAAATTTGAAGTGAACACCTCTGCAGCTCAACAAGGATCTCTCCCAAAGAGAAAAGGACTCGAATTGATTGTTGATTTATCTGATGAAATCATTGAACAAAAGACACCCAAAACCAGAGAACCACCCTCATGGATTAAAAAGGCTCATCCACCATATACAGTGATTGAAAATCTGGATGAGGTAATGGTCACTAGACATAAAAAATTAAGTAAAATTAATAGCCTGTGCTATGTTTCCCTTTCAGAACCTAAAAATGCAAAGGAGGCTCTTGAAGACGACTGTTGGATTGCTGCCATGCATAAGGAGTTGAAACAGTTTGAGAGAAATGATGTATGGAAACTAGTTCCCAGATCTGAAGGGATTACTGTTATTGGAACGAAGTAGATTTTTAAGAATAAATTAGATGAGTTTGGAAACATTGTGCGAAACAAAGTAAGACTTGTCGCACAAGGGTATACTCAAGTTGAAGGAGCTGATTTTGATGAAACTTTTGCACCTGTGGCTAAACTTGAATCCATAAGATTAATGCTGGGAGTTGCCTCCTGTATAAAGCTAAAACTTTACCAAAAGGACGTGAAAAGTGCATTTTTTAACAGAATGCTGATAGAAGAAGTCTATGTTGAGCAACCAGTAGGATTTCAAGATCCTCATAAGCCTAATCACGTGTTCAAACTTTAGAAAGCACTCTACGGTTTGAAGCAAGCACTAAGAGCATGGTATGACAAGCTGACTTCCTTCCTTCTTGATAATAATTTCACCAGAGGTAATGCCGACAAAACCTTGTTCATAAAGCATGAAAGAGGTGAATTTTTGTGTGCTTAAATTTATGTAGACGATATTGTTTTTGGTTCCACTTCACATACTCAATTGGAAAAATTTATTGTTTTAATGAAAGATGAATTTGAGATGAGTATGGTAGGAGAACTAAGCATGTTTCTTTGTCTTCAAGTCAAACAAATTGATTGTGACATGTTTGTCTCTCAGTCTAAGTACGCCAAAAACATGCTTAAAAGATTCAATCTCAAATCTACCAAGCATGCCAACACTCCAATGAGCTCTAGTCTTAAACTCTTCAAGGATGAAAAAGGTAAAAAGGTTCATAATAAGTTATTTAGAAGCATGATAGTGAGTTTCTTATACTTGACAGCAAGTAGGCCTGATTTGTGCTTTAGTGTAGGTGTGTGTGCAAGGTTTCAATCTAATCCTACTGAGCTTTATCTTAAAGCTGTTAAAAGGATTATGAAATATGTTGTTGAAACATCAGACTTTGGACTTTGCTTTTCTTATGATTCTAATCCTACTTTTGTGGGTTTTAGTGATGCTAATTGGGCAGGTTGCTTGGACGATAGAAAAAGCACATCTGGAGGATGTTTCTTTCTCAGCAACAACCTGATCACCTGGTATAGCAAGAAAAAAAAATTCAGTCTCACTCTCCACAGCCGAAACTAAATATATCACTGTAGGGAGTTACTGCACACAGGTTCTTTGGTTAAAACAAATGCTATGCGATTATGGATTTGATCAAGAATGCATAACTGTCTTTTGTGATAACACTAGCGCAATAAACATTTCTAAAAATCATGTTCAGTACTCCAGAACCAAACACATTGACATTAGGCATCATTTCATAACAGACTTAATTGATGAGAAAGTGATCACTCTTGCACATGTTAACACAAACTCTCAACTTGCTGACTTGTTTACTAAGGCTTTAGACTTGTAAACTTTTGTAAATTTGAGGAAGTCCATTGGACTTATTCAAATTGAGTAGTGTCTCTATCTTATCTTTAAATGCCATGAGACAAATTTCCATCTTTTTATTGTTGCAAGTATTCTTTTAATTTGTGTTGGCGATTGAGATTTTTTTTTCAGTCTTGCGGTAGCATGCTACTGAAATGTGTCCACCTCTTATTAAAAGCTTTTGTGTCTTAAAATCTCTCCATGAGTTTGTATTGCTTGACTTTGTCACCAAGTGAAAGAGCTACCTTGCTTGTAGTGTTAAAGTCATAAGTGAGTAATCCTCTAGGATGTAGTGATCCCTATGTCCTTGGAAGTCTACCTTTAAAGGGCTACCTCCTTGTAAGTGTGAAAGCTACACTTGGTTGCTATTTGAGAGATTTTATTCTATTTAATGCCTAAAATATTCATTAAAAAAGAAATAAAAAAGAACTCAGTTGAATTGATTTGTAAAAAGAGAATGAGGGAAGAGGGAGACAAAAGATGTTTATTTGACCAATGAGTTAAGCTTCCCTTTGAGGACACCGCACACACTTATGATAAAGAATCTATGCATTCTTGCTCATCGATTGACAAAAGAAATAACTGTTCATGTGTGAAAGTGACTTAATTGAGATTATTTCTTTGGCATCCCATAGATTGGTGATCTTTTCTCTTATGTCACACTGATTTACAATACTTGTTTCTGTAAAATTTTGTTTATGAAATTGATCTCATGGTAATCTCCTTTTCATTTTTATTTGTTTTGTGTATGTTGTCTTTTGCCTTGGTCTGAAGTCACCACTTTGAGAGTTCTTGTGTGTACATGCCTATAGCTTTCTGACTTTGATTTCTCTCTAAAATATCTCTTTTATTGTTGAACTTTGTGAATGGTTCGATGTGTGCACCCTGTACACCTATGTTATCACATGCTTGTAGTTTTGTTCTCATATATTTTGACTATGCTCACTTGAAGTTTGATGTTACCATTTTATGTCTGCTTGACTCTCTGTGTTCCCCTGGTTTTGATGTCACCACACAATGCTTTAATTGGTTCATTTTTGTTATATGTTTGTTGTGTGCTCACTTTGACTCTTGTATCGTCACATGACTACTGATTCTTTGTGATTTTTTTATCAATATGTTCCATGTGCTCACACCGTATGTGATGTGTTCACCTTGCCTATGCCAAGAATCTTTCCTCCAGGAGATCTAGCAAACTCAAAGGATGATCTTGTATGAATAAAGAGGGGGAGTAGGCATTAATCTTTTTCATTGAACTGCTTCATCTCACCTGTGAAAGTGATCACAACTGCCTTGTGATCACATTGAAGGATTTTTTTTTTTTTTTTTTTAGTTATTGAACTGATTTATCTTTTTTTTGTTCTGTTGTTTTTTTTTTTTTTTTTTATTAACTAATGCAATTGTGTTTTTGTGCAGTAAATTTTGTTTATGCTTATCTTCTGATTGCATTTTCTTTGTGTTTGTTATTTGCTTTTGAATTCTTGCTAATTCTTCTCTTGATATGCAGATAACATTCTTTTCAGTCCACGTATGACTTAAGCTATCCCTGTATGGAAATTGATTGGTCAATTCGTTATGTATGTTAGATTAGTTACTCAGGGGGAGTATACTGATTGAGGGGGAGTTTTTCAATTTAATTTTTGATCTTGCAAAACAGTTTTTAATCGAACGATACTGATTATGTTTTAGTTGTTGTCTTTGTTTCATACTTATCTCTATGCCTTGATAATTATGTCCTTATGAAATATGTTTTTGTGTTGTTTTAAGTTTTGTCTCTTGTTGATTGATCATTGATTTTTTTAGATAGGTTTGTGAATGAAAAGATTGTGCTTTGTTCATAAGATTGACAAAGGGGGAGATTGTTAGTGTTTTTGTCATCTTATGATCTTGCTTTGAGTCCTGCACTGTCTTTTCCTTTCTGTCACTGTGGGCACACTCTCTAAAGGTGATCACCTTCACAAGTGTGAGCACTTTAGAGTCTGTGTGCTCACAATGCATCTGACAGATATTTTTCCTCAATCACACATCACACACCTGTTTTGCTTTTTGGACAATATTATTCCTTATTTATATTTTGTTTTATGTCTTTCCACTTGTCCACTTTCTATTTGCTATGTGAGAAAGGAATATTACTTTTGTTTGTGGTCCCAAATTTCTTATGCAAAAAGAAAAACACAAAAGTTTTACTTTAACTTTTTTTTTCCCCCAACCCTAGTCACCTTGTTCTCTCTATATTCATACTTTTCTGGTGTCTTCCAAAAAGAAACCTAATTGCCTCTGATTTGTCATGGAATATCCTCTTAGGGTTTTGTTTTCGTTTAAAGTTTCTTACTATGTTTTGGTAGGCTTAGAATTGCCTTCTTCACCTGTCATTGTGTGAGATCTTTTGATGCTATTTCCATTGTGATGAGAGCTTGTGTGTAAGCTGCTACCCTGTCTTCATTGTTGAATCTTGAGAGGAGTTCTTCTTCAACATGATGTTGTTGTGTTCATGAATTTGCTGTGAGGACTTGAAGTTCAACCAAAGAAGATAAAGTTATTGTATAGAAAACAGGGAGTGTTTTACAACTTTGGTTATCTTGCTTTGTATTTGAACTCATAAGTTTTTCATAGTGAATTTACTTCCTCTGGACGTGGTCCCATGGATGTAGACTTGATACCGAACCATGTAAAAATGAGCGTGTTCTTTACTTGTTTTGATATATGTTTTATTTAAGTTTTTCACAACTCATTTGCACTAAAAATTGAACAAGCAACCTATTCTGCATAAGTTTTAAACACTTGGTAACCGTTTAAAACTTTCAGCATCAACTGAAATTTCAATTTTCAAAGAGATCGCTCCAACCGATCACTTTAAATACACAACAAGAATTTATTTTAACACAAAATGTTTAAAATATCCATGGTACATGCAACAATAGCAATTCAAACTAGAAAGTTGAGCGCAACACAAGAAGGAAATTTTCAGCAGTTAACGCTTCATGCCTCCCTCCACTTTAGGAGCCATCGCCACACCAGGGGTCCGTCTACTGACGTTCTCATCCCATCCTAAATATATAAGGAACAAAATTCATAAAGATATGTTAACAAGAATTCTTAGGGAAAATGTAGACTTACGTATGCCAATAATGAACATTAAATGAAAAAATTTCGAAGTTTTTGATACCAATGGACATGTCAAATCCACGATTCTGAAGCTCACGGTATTCTTGACATATGGCGCAATGTTCACAAAAGCAGCTCATGCAAAAATCCCCACAATTGCTTCCCTTCAAGTTATATTGCTCCCTCATTTTATGACGATAAATGAAATGGAGGATCCATCCACATCTAGTAAAATTGAGTAGGAGATAGAGTGCCCCAATGCCAAAACAAGCTGAAAATGCCAAATATCACACGTCAACATCTGTTTTACAATGCTTAGGTATACATTTATGTCAACATTTATATGGACACAATTTGTTTGTAAATAATTAACCATTTTACTCGAAAAATTTAAAATTTTCGCCCAAGACTTTACATCGATAGATATTTAATATATATATATATATATATATATATATATATACACGAGATAAAATTTACGGTTGATTCGGAAGGGAGTGGTCATGTGAGGATGAGGCCACTGTCAATCTTGTAGACCTGCGTACATAAAAAGTGAATGCAAAGCTCACGGGGGACACCAGTGTGCTGTTTGTCATAGGTACTCTGACGCTTAAGTCAGTGAGGTTCAAGGATAACTTAGTGAGAGTTGAGAGCAGGAAGGTTACTAGGATTGGTTGGTTAGGGCACGATAGTCATCGTAGAGTGGCCAGAGCACATCTCTACAAGATCACCAGGACTAGAACTATGGCAAGGAGAGGCAGAGGTTCTTGAGAGCTAGAACTTAGGAGCAAGTGAGAGAGGTTGTGATTGAATTAATAATGAGAGGACAGACCTTTGTTCATGCAATGAACCATAGGGGCTTGAATCTTAATAGAACTCTAAGTTCTACTAATTTAGGAGTTTAAATAAACAGAAAAGTTGTATAACTTATCCAAATAGTATTAGGAGTTCTGATTCATGTAAGATTCGTGATCTTGGATGAATTAGGAAGTGTTTGGGACTCCGAGTTCCCCCATTGTATGTAAAGCACTCTTTTGTCCCCCACTTACAGGATGATCCTTTATCTACTATCTCCGCAATCCGTCCAAAAGCAACGCATGGACACCATGTAGCCAAACAACCTGTTAAGGATTGATCAATTGATAGAGATTATCAGTGAATAATGAAGGAAAATGCTGCAACATTTTAAATTTAAACGTACTCCAATGCTTTTATATTTCGCTTATATTGTAATTAGATGTTAACTTACAGCTTGAAATATCAGAGAAGCAGTCGAGGCAGCCAGTGGACCAAGCACCTTGACTTTCAGTCATCCTTCTTTGCGGGCTAGACTCTCGCAAAAATCGTGTGGTAGCCAAGCTGAAAATATTTTTTTTAACTTTAATTATAAACTCTTAAAACGGGAGGCACAGAGCAGGTTAACCACAATACTTAGAGAGATAAATACCTAAAATTAATCATATTGCTAACTCAACAAGGATTTTACACGTATAGGTAACTACTAATTACAAAATACATTACAAACAAACTGCACAATTCCAATTACACATGAAAAATAGAAGGAAAAATCACTGAATTATCTGTAGGATCGAATTAATCTATAAAAAGGTAGTGTTATAACAAAACCAAAAGGGTTTCAATTATTAATGTTATAGAGATACTATTACATATATAACAACAACGAAATTAAATGTGAAAAACATAGTGATGTAATTAAATTATATGGATGAAATCAGGTAGAGNACATGAAAAATAGAAGGAAAAATCACTGAATTATCTGTAGGATCGAATTAATCAATAAAAAGGTAGTGTTATAACAAAACCAAAAGGGTTTCAATTATTAATGTTATAGAGATACTATTACATATATAACAACAACGAAATTAAATGTGAAAAACATAGTGATGTAATTAAATTATATGGATGAAATCAGGTAGAGAGTGTCCTGTGTGTGAGCGGTGTTTAGGTGGAAATTGAAATGCTTAGCTTCGTGTGAAAAGAAATAAGTGAAGAGGGCTAACCTTATATGGTTTATTTGTTCGCCTTTGTGAGTTTTTATTTCGAAGGGAAAGAACTATTTATAGACGAAAATGGCAATAGTTGTGTGTGTGTGAAAAACAAATAGTTTTCTCCAGGTGCAATGCCACAATAGCACTAAAATTAAATAATGTGGAGGGCCCTCCGGAGTTCACATTCTCAGCTATTTTTTTCTGCTTGTTTTTACCTCCAACTTCTAAGTTAAATTATATTATGTTGTAGTCATTTGTAAGAAAAATGATCATTAGGAAAAATATCATTTCTTTTAGTTAAAGCATAGACCTCCTTAGGTTTGATATAATAACAAATATATGATCATGTCATTAGTCAAACTGTTAATAAGTTGTTAGACATATACTATTATGAGTTAGTGAATATTTTCCGAATTGTACTCTTATTGTATTTTAACATTAAAAACTTATCGAAAATAAAATTTATGTCATTTCAATAAACTCATGAATATTTTTGTTATTTAATTAAACCTCATGGCAATTATTATTAACTCTTTTTCTTAAAAATAGTTCTATGAACTTAAGTCTTAACCCAGTTTTATTTATGTTCTTAATCGTGGAAACGGTGCTTGAAATCCACTTCAGAAACATCTCTGTTTGGACCACAAAGGCACAACAAGAATTGCATGTTTACTTGCTAAACATTCCCATTGTCGATGGGGTTCAAATGACAAATAATTAATGGTCCCAAAATGCATGTTGAAAAGTTTAAAAGCTACCCTCCATGTCCCATCAAATATTGATGAAATATTCAACCCTACCCTTAGTTGAAAAAGAGAAAGTGCTGATTCTAACAGATTTCGGCTAGGGTTTTGGTCCCCTTCTGTTCACATGAAACACGTAATTGTGGAATCTTCGTGCGAGCAAATTGAGATCAGAATCTCTCATGACCTGAAATTTTATCTAGATTAACATATGTATAAATTTACAATGAAAAAAAGTCGTTAAAGCGAGAGAAAATATATCAACAATATATACATTTGTTATAAACATATCTTTGAGCTACAAATTAATTTCCCAATTACAACAAACATCACTTAAGTTCTTTCTTTTCTAATTTTATTGAAATATAAAAAGCAATGTCAAAACTTAGTCAATTATGTTTATGTCATGTTTGAACCATAATCGATGACATAGCAAGGGAAAATTGATTATAGTGGGGCGAGATTACAACATCATCCTTACATATCTATGATGCGTTCATATGAAAATATCACTCATCAATACATTTATATATTTATCATGTTATAGGTTCATTCAAAATATCGCTATTAACTAATAGATGTATACATTATCATGTTAATGTCATATTACTTGACCTATCACTTGAAATGAAATTTTTTGGAATAAGGTCTTAGGATAATAATTTGAGTATTCAGGATTGAAGAAATTTCAACATGACTTATCGTTCATATACTAAACAATTTTCTTTTAAAAAAAAAAAAAATGCCCTAGATTTTCATAATATCCTTCAATGCAAAACATAAAGAACTTTCATTGCAAATAGTTGACGAGCTGGAAAATCTAAAAAAAAAAAAAATATTACACTTTTCAAATGAAGTCTCGAATTTCTCATCTAAAATAATGTGCTATCTTATATGGTGTTGATATTTCAGTTACCACTTCAATTGTATACACTTAGTCTTGTGAGTTACCAAATTAATTTTCCAATCACAACCAAAAACCTTCTAAAACATTCCCATATAGATGTTTATAAGTTGCAATAAATATCATCACTTTAAGTTCTCTTTTCTCTAATTTTATTGATAAAACGAAATTTCAAAATTAGGTCATGTTTTGATAGGATTTGAGATAGGTTTGACTTCTCACCTAATAAGGCCTTGTGAATGGGAGGATTACCCCCTCTTATAAACCAGTAGACTTGAGCATGCCTAGTCGATGTGGGACTCCAGCATGTTTGAATTATAAATAGAAGAGTAAACAACATGTTCCTACCCAAGGTTTGGCGAAATGGCAAGTTTTCACCCCTGGTTTCATAAATTCCAAATTCTCACCCTTAAATTAACACCGTTAGTTTTCTCTCAAAATAACCCCCACATCTCAAAATTTCTCTCAAATAACCCCCATCAGAGATCCCTGCCAAGCAAAAAATTCAGCTCGATTCTGGCATTGTTGGACCTTCAAGATACCACCATTAGCATCCCCTTATCTTCCTCACTAAAAAACCTAACTTTTCAACCCGAGTGCACCCGCTAATCACCAATCGCCAATCCTTGCTAGCCCACGTGAATTTTCAGTTTTCAGGCTAGATTTTGGTAGTTTTAGCATCGAAAATCACCCCTGACACCACCATCAACATCCCTATCTCCTCCTCATCAAAACCCTTACCTCCACCGACTGTCCCTGTGCGCAGGTGAAGGTTAAGTTTCGTTGAGACAATTTGTCGAACACTTGGTAGCGTGGGCAATGGTAAGGCTGGTAGCGGCTGGCAAAGGGGTGAAATGGCAGAAAAAAACCACAATCAATCAACAAACACTTTAAAACTAATCATTCTCCTTTCAAAATCAACCTCTAATAAACCCAAAACAACAATTTTGCAAAATCCTAAGGGGGGAGGTGGATGGCGAGCAACAGAGCAATCGAGGTCAAGAGTTTTGGAAGGGGGATGCTTGTGGTGTTATTGGTGGTGTCAGGGGTGATTTCTAGCACCAAGATCGGCTGGATTTGGTTGGAAAGGCGCGACAACCAAGCAAAACCCTAAGTTAGAGGCTGTGGCAATCGACGGGCAATTATGATCGAGGATGTTAGGGGTTTTGGTGGGGAGAAGTCGGTGATGCTGTTAGTGGTGTTGGGGGTGGCTTTTGGTACCTAGATCAGCCAGAATTTGGATGAAACACGCTACCGAAACTAGAACGGTGGCCGGCGATTGGAGGGTTCAATCTGGTGAGGAGGTTAAGGGTTTTGATGTAAGGGTTAAGGGGATTGTAATAGTGGTGTCAGGAGAGATTGACTGTGCCGGGAACAGGCCAAATTGGCCTAAAATAGCCGATTGCGTGGTGGTGAATTTGAGATGTTAAAGGTTATTTTGAAATTTTCATTTTCTAAATAACAATTTTACCCTTTTAGCCGTTACATTAAACAATTTTCTATTAATTCACGTATGGGAATTTGGAATTTAATGAAACCAATGGTGGAAACTTGCCATTTTGCCAAACCTTGGGTGGGAACATATCGTTTACTCTAAATAGAAAGGGAAAATCAACCTATAGAGGGACGATTTTACAATATCATGCTTACATATGCATGATACATTAATTCAAAATATCGCTATTAATAAATGTATATATATTTGTCGTTGTACTTGGCCTATCACATGAAAAAGAATAAAGACTAATTTGGATGATAATTTGTGTACTGAGAATATCGAAGGAATACATCTTTCCAATACAAGAATATGTGATATGTAATATCCAACTCAGAACGCACAAAAAAGAAGTGCATGTTCAAATGGTCCCTTATTTGTTGGCATGAATTGTGACATTACATGAAGACAAACAACAAAAGTCGTATATCCAACAGCCTGTTTGAGTATTGAATTGAACGAAGGGGTTAGATAATATCGGGCATGCATAATAATGACCATAGAAAAGAAAGCAAAGAGCCATCAATACTTCTCACTTTCACTCATTTATTGAAAGCACTGGTAAACATTAAAAGATAAATGACGCCAGTCAACATTAAAAGATAAAATTAAAAGCAACAAAAGAAGAATTTTCATCGTGTCCATGAAGGGATACGCGCGAAGTTCCAAAGAGGTCTATATGCTTCTCTAGATATGTTCTGTTTAAAGTTCAATTAAATACTACTAAGTTGTCTTGGACATCTTTTAAAATGAAGTGTGTTTTTATCCTATCGTCCACTTCAAAGCTCGGAATAATTAATTGAGATATGTGCAAGCTAATCCGAACACTTCATTAAAAAAAAATATATCCAACGAATTTGTTGTCTTTTGACGATATCACACTCAATAGTAATTGAAGGTAGACTCTTATGCAATATTGCTTCAAACAAACAATAAAACAATCCCATATGTTCACACGATCCACTACCAGCATTTAATTGATATCTAATCATTTAAATCCAGATATTTATACATTATATTTCTCTACGTGTCCCACAGCGCACAACAACATCCAGTATTTGCTTTTCAATGCAACATTCTATAAATGTCACAATGGTCCCAAAATATGCATGTGGAATCATAAACGTACAGTTGGAAAGCCTTTGTATAATTTCAATTTTCATCATTGCATGAAAATTTTAGCCCTACCATTTGCAAATTTT